TCCCGTTTTGTATATATATATATACACACACATTTGCGTGTTTAAGCTACTTAGTTAACTTTCTATCATCTTAACTTTAACATTCGGGTCCAGACCTACATGAGTATCTGCGGACTACTACTGTAACCCTAAACCCGAAACCTTCGCGCCCCACTTTGCTCCTGATTTTTGCACGCCGGGAGACGGCTCCAAGGTCGAGTGGGTTGCTTCTCCGGAGCCATGGCCTGGCAAAACCCAGGGAAGGCTGGATTCTTGTCGTTAAAGATAAACTTATGCAATCGGGATCTATAGTTAGTATGTCAAAGATAAACTTAATAGGATGTAACAGGGAATTAGATGGGAATTAGAGTAATTTAGCTACAGATAAACTATCAAGGACATATCAGGGACCTATAGTTAGCATGATAAATACTAGGCTATCTTGAATTGAAACTCGGTGGGCCAAGCGCTGCTCCACCAAAACAGTCTGATGTGTATTCATGTACTAAGTTACAGCTGTTGAATATTTTGTTCTGTAAGTACACGTAGTAGGTATGCGTGCACATATGCATGTATGTGCGCATGTGTGTATATGTATAGTATGTATGTATGTATGTATGTATGTATGTATGTATATATGATATGTATATATATATATATCTGTGTCTGTGTGTATACGTGCGTACGTATTTGTCTGTATGTATGTATATGCATGTATGTATACATAGAGAGAGAGAGTTGTACAAGCAAGACAGTGTGTGAACATATGCAAACTTATATAAATAAATAAATAAATATATACATATAGAGAGAGAGAGAGAGATAGATGGATATACATACACAACGATATAAGGATTTCCTGACAGGTGCCTTCATGCACGAGCGTGAGTTTCTGCATTTGTGCCTCTTTGGTGCAAGCAACACTCAGGAGCAAAGCAGGGAACCTGTCTCATTTCCGTGGGGTTTGAGGCACCATGGGCTGCCAGGCGACACAGTTGTCTTGCAAGTTTATCTGTGGACTGTCTCGATAAAGCCTATCTCTACTAACCCTCCTTCATATCCTTAGCACGACGTCGGCATCGAAGCCTCTTAGCCGTTAAGTCCAACTTCAACAGCTTCCCTGAGATCCTGATCGAGGGCTGAGGGCCCTGGGCCTCCGCCGTCCCGTTGACCCGCGAGCAACGGGCCTCCAGGCTTCTGTTCAATTACACATGAAGACATACATGAAGACGACGGCTTCAGAATGAACAGCAGATCTCCACTGTACCAGGAACGATGCTGTGCACATGCCTGCTTGGTGATGGCCAGCGCGGTGGACTGGGACTTGCGCATGCCCGGGACGCCATAACACATCTGATGTAGCTCCCGCGCAGAGATGAACCTCGGATGTTCCTGCTCTGTCACGGTGCCATCTAATGCTGGTAAAGGGAAACCAGCAGCTCAAAGACCAAATTCCCTCTCAAGGCCGCCAAAGGTGCGGCACACGAGGGGCTGTCGCGGTGGGCTGGTGCACCGCCCATCCCCGCACGCCACCATCTTGGATGCTGCCTTCACTCTCATGCGGGCCCATGGCTTGGGGTATCGAGTTGCTGCGAGTAAAATACTACGCCTCAAACACCTTCTTCGTCGGAGCCTCCAGGAGGGAGTTCAGTGCACTCTTCGGCCAATCCGAACAAGGTCTCAAGTTTGTCAGAACAAGCCCAGTTAGGCTACACCTACAGCTCGACGTCACTGCCACCCGTCGGCGAACCATTTTCGCTGGTCGGGTTTAGGGTTCTCTTTGGGCGCTGCTGCGGCTGCTGTGGCGCCAACAGCAGCAGGATCGACAAACATCAAAGATCGAGTATCATCCGGGCTGATTTGGCAACCACGAAACAGTGCGCACCTTCGAAGGCCGAATTTCTCAGATACTTCGCCTACTCTGCCCACCTGCGTCTAGAGCTCGCGCACCGTTCCGTCGCATATCCGCCAGCGGGCCCACATTCCCATGCCGACAGGTTCGGATGGGAGACTAGAGCCGAGACGCCTTTAACACCGCACAACTTGCCGACGGACATCTGCAAGCATCTCGGATTTGAATGGAGCCTGGTTCTGAGTTCTTTGATAGGCCGACTGAATATGTCGTCCGACTCAGATTGCTGGAGCCATTCACCGCGACCTACAGGGATAGAATCGGACCTGCTGCAGCGGCATTACACCTTGTGCGGTACCGTACAGGCTCCGCCTGCAGCTCTCCTGTCGCCCACACCAGTAACCAACGTCTGAATGCAAAATCCTGCGCACCAAACATGAACAGGCCCCGCAACCAAAGGCTTCCGTAGTGACAAAACCTTTCATGCTGACCCCAAGACTGCCCCAAACAGCCAGGTGCGGCTAGGCCAAAAACATGGTAAAAACTTAGGAGTTCGACACTCCGGTGCAGCAGTCCTGCCCTGGTCGGAGCCGCCTGGGCAGCCGCCGCGGTGGGGGCTCCAGATTGGGGTGGGCCGCTGGGTGTCTCCAACAGTCGGAACTCCAAACGCGCTGAGTGAGGCTGAATAAATTGCCTGGGTGACCAGATGTCCCTTTGCAATTAAAACTCATTAGAGCCAAGTCCGCTGATGGCCGCTTATGCTCCGCACACTGGGACGAATTGGTGCTGGGCGTCAATTGGGGGGCCCGATCGTGCCGGTTCAGAGTTCAGAGAAGCTTTCTGGTAACCAGGATCTTCTATATCATGATGATTAAACGTATAAGGGCTCAAGACGCCAAGGTAGTCTTGAGTCTAGGTGCGACTGCACACCGCCTGGTGTCTGAGTAGCAGGTGATAGGCACAGGATGAGCACAACTCAGGGGGACTCCTCAAGCCGCCTTCCGGTCATGATGGAGGCGAACTTCAACCGCAGCTGTGAACATTTGCTCTGGCAAACCTTTTTGCGGATCGTCTTGCGCAGAACTGGACCCTGGCATTTGCAGCCGAGGGATGTGCAAACCAAAAACAAGCCCGGATCTTGATGTGTGGTGTTGCCCCTGAAGGCAGCTGGCTACTTCACAAACTGCTGCAGCTTCAGGCGTGAGACAAGCACCCTAGGACTCCACAACACAAAAAAAGGTACTCCAAAACCCTAAACCCTAAATCGAAACCCTAAACCTAGACCGAAACCCTGAGCCCTATAAACCCTAAAAAAGATCATCCCACGGGCCAGAGCCGGGGTTTCGAGAGGCGAGTCGAGCCGACCTGTCGCTCTCGGTGCAATGGGCGCCCTTGTGACGCTCTCTTTTAAAACAATCTATAAAGGGGTTCTAAACGGGTATACATATATATATATGTGTGTGTGTATAGATATAGTATACTAGAAAGTTTCTATATCTTGAAGGCTCTGTGAAGGGGTTCTAAAAGGGGGGTATACTGTAAGGGTTCTATGAGGGATTTATAACGGGTTCTTTTCGGGTAGCCCCTGTCACGACCGATGGAATTCGAAAGGCCAAACACTGGTGGTCTCATGTCAATACTCTTCACCATCTGTTTGACAGATTCACAGGAGAATGATTCGGTTTTCATGACAGAACCGGCCATACTTCGGACCTGCTTGCCGCTTTGCGGATTTCTGCAGGGGTTTCTTTGGCTTGCCTTCGATGTCAGACAAGCACGACTGCCTGTGCCGACTCGCAAGTTTGACAAGAAACGCGCAGTATGGCGCGATACAGATCTTTACAGATTTCAACAGACGTGTGGACCAGAGCCAGTCTGTACACCTTTACACATTCCGAAGCATCCCCCTGGAATGCCAGTTTCAGAAAACGAGGAATTGACTGGCCTGCTGCAAAGTCTTTTGCGGTCCAACCATTTGTGTTTCCTGGGCACCGGGTAGCAACATGAAACAACTGCAGTGATATCAGAAACGACCACCATTAACAGCACATCTGCACCAATTATGCTCATCATACTAGCATGAATGACCTCAACGAGGACAGACTGACAGTTTCAACCAGCTTGCGCTCGCGATGCATGGGAGTTTTCTTCGCGGCTCTGCCCCTTGCTAATATTTGTAGCTTGCTTCAATCTACTATCAAGCCTAGATACCCTAAGCAACATACAAAACAACGAAACGGGAACTGCTCCTGGGAAGCTTCTCAAGTCCTGTCTTGCACCACATGCGATGAGGGCAGCGGCACCTTCGTACTGAGCTGTTATTACAGCTCCCATCAGCGGCGTCATGTCGCGAATGTGGTACCAGAGAGCCTTGAAAGGGTTCCCGTGTATTTCATATCCGTGCTGTGTACGAAGTCGAAAGCAAAGAGGAACTGCAACAGCAACTCATTCTGCTTATACACACCGCGCCACTAGGCAAAAAATCGAAAAGTGATGGGTTGGAATCCGAGCGGCCGCCAAAGTTGTGGCGTCGTCGGACTGGTGCTGAAGTGACTTGGCTTTGGCTACTTGGAGGATGTCGAGTGCCGAGCCGGCTCGAATTTTGCGCTGGTGGTTCACGTCTGCCCTGAGCCCGACCAGGCGCTCGACCATTTCTGCCGTGCCTCCACGACTGCACCACATCGAGGCCCAGAGGGCCTGCGACAAATTCAGTGTCCCCGGAAGCGCCTGGGCGAGAAGAGCCTCCACTGCTGCAAGCGACCCGTAGCCACTGCAGAAATCAAGCATGGGGATATTGATCTGATTTTCCGTATGCGGGTCAGCACCCGCATTACACAGAATGCGGATCCCTTCTGGATTGTTGGATATCGATGCGTAGGCCATGCTGGGCATGATGCTGCCATCCATGCGAGAACCCGCGGCTATGAGCAGGCGTGCCGCATCGCTGTGCTTGAAGAGCATAGTGAGGTCGAGTGCCGACATCGAGACAGGACACCCTACCTTATTTGACACACAAGCAGAGAAGCAACTATATATATATACATATATATATACACACACATATATATATATGCATACACACGCACACACACACATAAATGTGCTTACCTGTGTCGCTTGGGCAATTCTAGGACTTCAATGTGTCCGCACGCGCGATCATGTAGGGTCTTCGCAGTCCCCTGCACCCCACCATGCCCATCTTACGGGGGTGGAATCATTGGTGGCACACGCGGCATCGCATGGGCGTATTGCTGCAGCTCCTTTGCTATTGCCTTTTGGGAGGCCGGCATGGTCTACAGACTCTTTTCGCATTGTTACGCACGCATTAGGGAGGTGGGCCTGCAGGAATGGTAAAGCTCGCAAACTACTTCGCTCGTATATATATATATATGTATCACTTACCAGCCCGTTGCACTGTGTTTGCTTCGGCTTCCAGCGACCGCTTTGCGAACCGCAGTCTTCCGAGGTCCTAGGAGCGACCGGCCTAATTGGCCCACATAACACACCCACACATTACTCTGTCACAATCCAACCCTTATGTTCAAAATCTACACTCTAATTATGGCACAAGCTTGCAAGCTAGGGAGCTTTCGGCTGGTCCTTGGAAGTCCGTCTGTTGGGGTCTGCGCGTTGCCGCAACAGTCCTTCAATAACGTCTGTTCGCCCACCCAATGCGGCATAGTGCACCGGAGCCCACCCGGCATCATCGATGTCGAGGACGGTTCTGAAGCCGTTCTGGTGTAGAAACCTGCAAACTCAAAACTTCTCGATCTTCGTCCGCAGACACGACTACAAGACGGCCCCACGCATGAAAACCACAAAACTTTTGAGATGCAGCTGGGCACTCTGTCACCACGTCCGGTATGCCACCGAAACCCGGCTCGAAACCAGGAACAAGATCCGTCACCTGAAGCGGTGATAAGGACCATTGTGACAAGGATGGTGCTGCTTTTCTGTCAAACTTGCTATTCACCGTGCCTTTGTGGCGATGGCTGACAAGGGTATCATGCGCAATGCTTGTGACTGCTGGTGGCAATGTCGGTGGTGGCAGCAACACTAGCGGACATGGTCGTCGTCATTGTAATTTCAAGCAAGTGAGAAGAATGGTCAAAGTCAAATTTGCACTATTATATGACCAGATGTCGAAGTTCGTCCAATTCAGCTTCAAGTCCCCATCCCACCTTCCCGGACAGTGAAGATGCACTCCATCACATTTCATGCCCGTGGTGGAGGGAGGGGGGGACGTGACAGATGAACCATAAGGTTGATTCAAAAAGCAATTGCACGGTTGCCCCTCCGAGCAAAGTAAAACAACGTGCACCTGCTCACCGACTTGAAATCGATCTAAAGGTGGATTAGACAATAAATTGGTGATCATGCAACCGAGAGTATTTCTTTCGAAATGCTAACGTCTGAAGCAGCAACAGCAAAACATAGACAGTCACAACTACCTGGTACCTTGCAGCAGCTGACATTATGATCCTGGTTGTTGGTTGTACACTTGTACACTGTACACTTCATTACCATGCAACTAATCACGGCAATGTCAACAAAGTGCAGCTGCTACAAATCATTTCTGCAACAACGACCACTGCCGTGGCCACTTCACTGCTACAACTTCTCATAGTAGCGGTGGCAGTCGCTGCTGCATGTTCCGAAGAGTAGTCGTGGTGTAGTGTCGTTGCAGGCATTGTCCTTGTTGGCATTGTAGCGAAGCAGCAGAAGCAGCAGCAGCATGGCAGGGGCACCGACAGTGGCAGTGGAAGAAGTATAGCAGTAGCAGTTGCAGCAGTAGCAGTTGCAGTAGTAGCAGTTGCAGTAGTAGCAGTAGCAGTAGCAGTAGCAGTAGCAGTAGCAGTAGCAGTAGCAGTAGCAGTAGTAGTAGTAGTAGTAGTAGTAGCAGCAAAAGCAGCAGCTGCAGCAGTAGCAGTAGTAGAAGTAGTAGTAGTAGTAGTAGTAGTGGTGGTAGTAGTAGTAGTAGTAGAATGTGGAAGAAGTAGCAGTAGCAGTAGCGGTAGCAGTAGCAGTAGCAGGAGCAGGAGCAGTAGCAGTGGCAGTAGGGACGAGTAGGAGTAGTAGGATTGGGAGGATAGGCCCCAGCCAATTACCCTATGTCCTGAACCCTTAGCCCTTAAATCCCAAACACTCAGCTCTTAGACCTCAACCCCAGGCCCGGACACCACGAGACTTTCGTGGCCATCCTCGACTCCATCGACCCCGTTCCAAGGCCAGGATTTGCTTTTGGAGTTCACGGCTTGAGGTTCTGATCGGCAAGCTTTCACCAATGGTGGTTCACACCCCAGTCCTGCAATGCAACGCGGGCCGCGCGACACTCGTTCCGCGATGTCTTATATGTGCGTGTGTGTGTGTGTATATGCATACAGTACATGCTCACATGTATGCATCTTTGCAAAGATGCTGTATGTACATATGTACGAATTTAGCTACCAGTATGTGTGTGCATGTAGACATCTCTCTGTGTCTCTGCATGTCTATGTGTGAATCATTGCATGTTTTCACGTTTGCATGCGAGCATGTACAGAGCTGCAGGTGTGGCTCCAGTCTACAGGCGTGTATTCGCACATGCATGATGCATTCCCATGCATGTGTCCTGCACTTATTTCCTTTTGCTGAGAGTGTGCGCATAGATGCTTTTGCGCACTTGTACATGCAGGTGTGGTCATAATATGTACGCATCTACCGATCTAGGCAAACGGTGTTTTAGTTTATTTCTATTAATTCTCAGTCTGTTTGTCCAAACGCAGATCCGCTATGAATCTGTATGTGCGCGTGTCTATTTCCGTAGGGCTCTGTGTGTGTGTGTGTATGTATGCGCACGCATGTTTCATCAGGGCATCCGTATGTACGTGTTTAACGGAGACTGAAGGTACACAGGACTAGACATTCTTGCGTGCATGGTCTCTTGTGTGTGTGCGTGCGCACAGGAGCCTCTGCTTTTCATGTACGTGCAATATATGCACATACTATACTTCCCAACGGAGTGTAATGGAATCTAAGTCTAATGTAACGTATCGCAACGTACTTTAACGTACTGTACTGTGCTGTATTGCAGCACAAAGTAATGTACTGAAAGACAATGTAATGACATGTATTGTCATATAGTGTAGTTGCGCAGTCACTTGTAGAGCAACCAGCAACCCCTGCATTCGCTGTTCTCCCTCCTGCACATGTCCCCGTCGATTTGTTTTCACCTTCATACATGACTGGGTGAAGAGGCGGGTAAACACTCCAGCACTGCATCATTCGCTTGATGACTCGGCACCTCACGCATGCTCTTTCGTGCCAAACGTAGAAGCCACTGCATAAATCCGTGTATGAACACAGGTCTATATTACATATGTAGTAGATATCACAGATTCAGCTGTGCATATTCAGTGCTGAAGCTCGGAGACTGACCGTACAGAAGCTTCGTCAAGTCCTCTCTGCATGCTCAGCCGCTCCCCACAGCGATACAGAATCCTTAGGGATCCACATGGCAACCTACAAGAATGCATCGAGGACTCGTCGAACCTGAGAACAGCCAGTATAATGAGACCCCGAACCCTAACCATTTCCCCCAAAACCTTAGAGCCCCATTTCCTGCCAGGCTCCCGGAGTCATCAGTCATGAATCCTGAGGATGCAGAGGCCCAGCTGGCTACAGCTCTGAAACCAGAAGAGCAGTGGTAGGGTTCTTCTTCCTGGAATCGTCTGGAAGTAGGAAAAAGCCAGTCTGATTTTGCACGATGTTGGTCTTCACGACAGCGCTTATGCTTGAAACTGCGGCGACTAGCACCATACATTATCCCTGTATGGCTATTGCTGTATCAGGGTTTTTCTTACTATTGTTGCTACTACGATTGTACTTCCCACTCGGGCTCCACACGGCCAGGGGACTCTAAGCCCTAAAGTGCTGAAACCCTAGACCCTACATCCTTGGCCTGGGGTTGTTTGGGGGTTGAGTTGAAGCTTCAGGGCTCCAGAACCTCAGGGCTTTCTCGGATCTCAAGAGCCACAATCATGAGACGTAGTATTCGCTGGTACGACGATCAGTAAGGAAACTGAAACCACACCCAGACAGAAAGACGCAGAAAGACGCATGACCAGGTGGCAGCTCAGGCTATCGTAGCAGCGGGACCCCGCCATTCCGATGCTGTCAAGCATCTCCAGGACTCGGTAGTCTGTAGGCAGCAGAGGAAGAGTTCTGAGGGCTTCGCTAGTGCTTTCAGGAGTACTTGAAGAAAGAGTGGGAGGACTGCGGGCGTCTCAGTGGGCTGTTCTCTTCTTGGCGATGTCTTTGGATAGACCTGCAACCTCGAGGCTTCCACGGTGCTGCCGGTTATGACGCCAGCAAGATCCAGAGCATATCCATGGCCGTACCGCAGCAGGCAGTCCTTCTCCTTTGCTGCAATCCGCCAGTACATTCCCCAACGTTTTGCGTATGGTGCTGCAGACCAATGAGACGGACTGTGGCGTCTATGTCCTGGAGCACGCTCCCTACATGAGGGTTGGGTTCAAGAAAGATACCAAAAGCATCTCGAGGGCATTGAGGGCCCGTTGTTGTTTGATGGCAGCAGAAGGCTTCCCTGTGCCTACCTCAGAAGAATGATATGTGTCGTGGTTGCCGATCCAGCAGTGGAGCAGGCAAACTGAGTTCCAGCTTATGTCATATCTGTGCGTCCATGACTGCTTAGAAGCCGCAGCCCTCCGCAGCTGGAATGGCATGCTTCACCCACCGTGTATGCAGCTTCACTGTACACACGTGCCCACAGTCCCTAGGTTTGCGCGCCGCATGTTGGAAGACCCGAACATCCTGGATTTCATCGTGGAGTACAAGGCATGTGCAGTATGCCTCCTAGCAGGGTAGGCTTGACTGCTCGCGTCACCGCTACGATTTTGGAGTTGTGGGCTTGCTTGATATGGCAAGCACTATAGAGTCTATAGAGTTTCCACCCTTTGTCAGGCGTCACTGCCGCAGCTCTCTGCCCCCACATCCGGGCAATTGCGGTCCAAGTGGCGACGGGTTGGGGACACTCGGCTGAGGCGTAGTTTCGAAAGACCCCCAGCCCCAACCCCTAAATATAAAGTTCTTGATTCCGCACATTCCAGAAGCAATTATAAAATCCGACACCCAACCTAAAGGACTGCAGCCCGAGGCACCAGGAAAAGAGCAAACGGATCCTAGGGGAGTGCTTTGGCCGTTTTGCGGCAGAAGCGATTGAAGGTTAGGGCCAGTAGTCTAAAGCGTGCATCGGATTCTCCAAACCAATTGAGCGTTTTTTGGGTGACGCAGCGTTGTGGGTGTAGACGGCTGACAGGATCCGACAGTTTCTGTTCTGGCCTTCGGTTTTGACACGAGGGTTTCGGGTTCCGGAGGAGGTTTTGAGGATTAGAAAGGTTGGGTTTTTCAAGGTAGCTTGGCAGTGGAAGGGAAATTGCTGGCCTTACCCGGTACGCAGAACCCAAACCTTACAACATGGCAAAGCAAAAAACCAAAAAGGCACAACTTATTGATGTAAAATCTGGAGCCCAAAACGCCTACCCTCAACCCAAATCCCACGTACGAGGCTTTGTGTCACGATGTAGCTGTCATCATGAGAGGAATCTGTCAAAATGCCATCGAGTCGCCGTGGGAGCAGCATGCCATGTGAGTGCGAGTCGAGACCCGTAGCCCGAAGCCTGCAGTGTCGATGCGGGAACTCAACCCGGATGGGACCGTCAAGGATGGATTGCCTTTGTTGCGGGATGCTGGGCTCGATGTCGGAACATTTTGCAGGAGGAGGTCATGGACAGAGTGGGCAAAACCACGGGTTGCCAGCATGGCAAGGTGGAGCTAATTGCCCCAAAAGAATTCTTCAAGCCCGAACCCCCAAACCCTTAACCCTCGGCCCTAGACCTTTTATAACCC